GAAGGAAGGAAGGAAGGAAGGAAGGAAGGAAGGAAGGAAGGAAGGAAAGAGAAAAGAAAGAGAAAAGAAAGAAGGAAAGAAAGAAAGGAAAGAAAAAGGAAGGAAGGAAAAGAGAAAGAGAAGGAAGGATGGGAAAGAAAGAGAAGGAAGGAAAGAAGGAAGAAAAAGAAGGAAGGAAGGAAAGAAAGAAAAGAAAGAAGGAAAGAAAGAAAGAAAGGAAAGGAAAGAAAAAGGAAGGAAGGGAAAGAGAAAGAGAAGGAAAGAAAGAAGGAAGGATTTCAGAAATACAGTTGTAGAGTTAGTCTGGAATAAAAGCCTAGGAGTAACTTCCTAGTCAGAGTTACACTGAGTTAATTAAGACAAAATCTCTTTGAAATGTTTGTTTGCTTCCTTCCTACATTTGGGCTCTGTGGTCTCGTCTCATCCAAACTGCACTTCTTCCCCAGTTCCTTCCCAGTTCCTCACAGACTCTCGTAGTTTAGCCATAGTCCTACCTGAAACTAATGAAATGTCTGCAAGAAAGCAAGCTCAGAGAGCACCAAGGACTCATTGCAACCCTAAGCTACAAATATTCTCCTTTATAAACTCCTTTATAGTTCCACGTGCTGAAAAAGCATAAAGTTCTTACAAAACATACTTGTGGGTTTCTGTGATCTAAAGAACAATGGAAAGAGCCAGTGTGGTGTAGTGGTTTTAAGGCACCAGGCTAGAAACTGTGAGACCATGAGTTCTACTCCTGCCTTGGGCATGAAGCCAGCAGGTTGACCTTGGGCCAGTCATTCACTCTCAGCTCTGGGAAGGAAGGAAGGGCAAACTACTTTGAAAAATCTTCCCAAGGAAACTGAAGGGCTTGTCTAGGCAGTCACAAGGAGTCAAGACTGGCTTAAAAGTAAACACCCCATCCCCCCACCCCAAAAAGAACAATTATCCAGACTTCTGAACAAGAACTTCTTATTCTCTGGGAAGAATTTCAGCCTGCCCCTCCATCAATAAACAGGGCATCATAATTGATCTGTTTTACAGGGTTGTTGTTAAAGACTTCGATAGTAAATGAAACGTGTTAAGCATTCAACATCCCCATACAAAATACAGAAGATCCCTACAACACCAGAGTGAATTTCCTCTTGAAATGTCCTTGGGTCTACCTTGTGTCCTTTAATAAATTGTTTATTGTAAAAGAATTACAATATGCACAAGGGAGAGGACTTTGATGTTGAAACGGGCTTTCCTGCAACCTTCTTCAACGCAAGGCTTTGGCAATAGCCTTGCCCTCATTTGTCCTCACTGGCCTTATTTGAGCGGTAAGGGCCACCCACTTTTCAAATCCCTTGGACAGCAGGTGGCCTCTACCATTCAAATCTTTGGAAGACGTTGCCCAAATACCACCTGTAAAGATGTCCATTCTCTCTGCTCACCAGATCCCACAGGGCCACCTGTCGCTCGCTCATGCGGCTGAAACCTGTTGTAAAAAGCTTCCCATCCTTCACAGTTGTGGCCCGAACGGGACGAGATCCCTCGTGGGCCCGGGGCAATTCCTGAAAATGAGACAAAATGAGACTTGTAAGAGCAGAAGGAAGGTGAACCACAAATGAATGACCAGGTCTTGCCCACTTCTGGACAGTGAGAAATCATCCCATTTTGTTGGGCCATTTTCCAGCCTTCTCTCCCAGCACAAAATATCTCATTTGCCCATATCAATACTCAGGGAAGAGTGGAATAATCTCTGAACAAAAGGAAACATTTCTCCATGATAAATCAATCTGGAAGACATGAGGAGGATGCCCACCAGTGGAAATGGACTTTAAAAGCAGGCATGCAAGTAACAAGAAACACATGTAGTCCTCAACTTACAACCATTATTTTAGTAACTGTTCAAAGTTACAACGGCATTGAAAAAGGTGACTTATCACTGTTTTTCACATTTACAACTGTTGTGGCATTCCTATGGTCACATGATCAAATTTGGGATACTTGGCAACTGGTTCATATTTATGTGTAGTTGCAGTGTCCTGGGTCATGTGATCATGTTTTGTGACCTTTTGGCAAGCAATGTCAATGGAAAAGCCAGATTCACTTAACAGCCATGCTAAAGTTAGTCCTCGACTTACAACAGTTTGTTTAGTGACCATTCAAAGTTACAACAGCACTGAAAAAGGGACTTATGACCATTTTTCAGGTTTATGACCATTATAGCATCCTTATGGTCACATGATTTACATTCAGATGCTTTATAACTGACTCACATTTATGACGGTTGCAGTGTCCCAGAGTCATGTGATCATCTTTGCCGGCTTTTGACAAATCAAGTCAACGGGGAAACCAAATTCACTTAACAACGTTATTAATTTAACAACTGCAGTGATTCACTTAATAGATGTGATAAGAGAAATCATAAAATGGGGCAAAACTCATTTAACAAATTTCTTGCTTAACATAAATTTTGGGCTCAATTGTGATCGTATGTTGAGGACTACCTGTATTAAGTTAACAACTGTAGTGATTCACTTAACAACTGTGGCAAGGAAATGGAGTAAAACTCACTTAACAACTGTCTTAGCAACAGAAACCGTAAATCCAGGACTGCATTAGGAATAATTTACCAAGGCATGTAAGAAATACAAAAATCTACTGTGGTACAAGTTCTTTTAAACTTACAATTGTTTAATGACAATTTGAACTTACGGAGGCCAAGGAGAGAATGACTTGTGACTCATTCTCAAAATTATGACTGTTGTACCCCATCCTATGCAATCATGGGATTGCAATTTGGGGCTTGGCAACTGGCTTGCATTTACAATGGTTGTAGTGTCTTGCTGGCATATGATTGCAATTTGCAATCTTCCCAGTCGGCTACTGAAAAGCAAAGTCAATTGGGGAAGCAGGACTCACTTAAAGACTGCATGATTTGCTTAACAACCATGACTTGCTTAATAACCATGATAAAAATGGTAGCAAAAATGGATCCAGCCTTGTGACGACATCCTTAATGGCTGCACTGCCTAGCAAACACAACGTACAAATCTAGTCAAGGTCTATCTGTATAGACTGTTTCTATTATGGCCTTCACATCAGTGTTGCATTTCAAAAAAGATTACCACCGGTTCGGTGGGCATGGCTTGGTGGGCATGCTTTGCATGCACTCACACACTTTGCACACGCGTATGTGCCAAACGCGCACTTTGTGCAGGTGCAGAGGCTTTCCAACTCACCTCCTGTACGCTCCCTGTCACTTCAGCAGCTGACACGCAGCAATCTGTTGTGCCACGCTTCAAAATCAGGACGTAAAGGTCAATATGGGAGCTCAGGCAGGCAAACGGGCCCAATAGCACAGCATCTTAGAGAACCAGTTCAGTCTCCACTGCTCTTCGGCGGTACCAGTACACCAGAACCGGGCCAAACCGGTAGAATAGCAATAGCAATAGACTTATATACTGCTTTATAGTGCTTTTACAGCCCTCTCAAAGCGGTTTACAGAGTCAGCATATTGCCCCCAACAATCTGGGTCCTCATTTTACCCACCTTGGAAGGATGGAAGGCTGAGTCAACCTTGAGCCTGGTGATATCACCACTGCTTCACATAAACCATTCCAAAGTCAATCTCTATCCCACTGAATCTTCAGATTTTGCACCAGTCAATTAGTATTCTGTGATTACTCAGCTGATTCTATCCTCACTAGCTTGTTATGGGGGTGCCTCTCTCTTTTTCTCTACAGTTGTTCAGAGATTTTCTCATGAATACTTTGATTAAATGAGGACCAAAAGACTCAGAGATCATGGTACAGATAAATGCTAACGAGGAAGTCTCTAGAATCAACAGCAGCGTGCTTTTGAATTTAAAGATACAAATCAAGGAATAAAGTGATGGCAATGTTTCTGCAAACTTTTGACTATATACTTTGAAATATAAATCACTGAATTAATTCATGGCTGGATGGAAACTTGGCTCTCCACATTGCTGATCGTCAATACCTATTAGCCAACGCAGCCAAAAGTAAACAACATTAGAAGAATAGCAGACACTCCATTTTGGGGACCAGACAAATCTGCTAACACAGGCAATTATTCATCTAATTTGCATCCTGATTTTTAAAAAATCAGCCTCTTCTGGACCTGGCAGTTTTAGACTTTCTAGAAGGTGAAAGTTTTGCCTACATTTGCTGCGGTGCCTCCTGTCCGGGGGTCGAAAAGCCGCACGTGCTTATCCCGGCAGGCCGTGCAGAGCAAAGAGCCGTCCTGGTTCCAAGCTGCACTGTAGATGACATCTGGGTGCAACTCATCCAAGGAAATGGCCGCTTGTCCAACACCCACGTCCCAGACTTTTATGACATTGTCGCAGCCTGTAGCAGATGGGAAGAAGACAAGAGTCATGATTAGGAAGGTGGCAGATTGCGGTTGTGGCCCTGGGCCCACCTTTGGGCCTGATTTTCCTTACCTGCACTCAGCAGGAGGTTCTGGGCTGTTGGGTGCCATGTCACAATCCCCACCCTTTTAGAGTGGCCTTCAAGAGTCACCAGAGGTTCATTCAAAGATCTTGTAAGACCACCTTCAGGCACCGACCAGACCTAAAAACATGCAAGACAAGAATTAAAGAAGATTGTGAGAGAACTGGAAAGAAAAGACACCCCCTATTTTGCCAGAATGATTCTGTTGTCTTATGTCTGCCTGCCTGCTTGCCTGGGTGGTCAAAGGTCTAAAAACAACCCAGACAACAATGGGCATATCTTTAATATTTTGGAGGTGATCAAATTTGATGTCTTGAACTGGTGCAGAGAACAGATTGCATGCAAGTGACTCTGGAGCACAGGAGGCAAACCGTGAGGCATATTACTTGGAGATGGTAAAAGATCCTCAGATAACCTTGCTTGTCTGCCATCCAAATTCCCCATTCGGATAAAATTTCCCTTCATTTGATACTTCTTTAAGCGTCCTTGCCTATATGTCATTCGTTTTTCCCACAATTCATTGCTGTTTGCCCTCTCAGACTCCTCTTTATCTCCCAGAGTGGGATGTTCAGCTTGCTACTTCTCTTTTCTTCCCTTTTTCTGCTCGATCCTGATTTTTCTGAGGGAAAACAATTCCAGCAAGAATTGTTATCTACCAGTTGTAAGCCTCTGGTGAGGGGATTACAGGAGCTACTACTGAAAGAAACAAGACAGCAGGTTAGATGAGGGCTAACAGACTCAGTGTTCTCCAAAATGCATTGTCAAAATGCTGGTGGCCCAGGGTAACAAAGAGTTTAGTCCCAAATCCTAGAGAGGTCCAGAGAGCTTACTGCTACTTAAAAAAAAAAAAAAAAACTATGCACAAAAAATATTCTTGTAAGCAACAAGGCAAGGTTGTGACCAGTGATGTCCTCAGGAACATAAAGTGCCCCTGGCTTTGTGGTGCCTGGGCAAACTGCCCTGTCCCTTCCCTCTCCTTCTCCCTTTTATTAATTTGACCACTTACCATAACAGTGCAGTCCTCGGATGCGCTGGCAATAACATGGTCATTGTGGGGGCACCACTCTATGTCTAACACAGGAGCTGTGTGCCCCGAGACCACAGGGTGGGCTTTATCCAGGCGACCAGTCTGCAAAAAAAGGAAGATAGAATGTTTGTTTCGATGCATCAGGGGTTTATTTCAAATGGCGACTCTTACTTTCCAGCGCTTGTGCTGTTTTTCTGTATTCCATAAAAGAGACATTTTACTTTGAGAACATGGCCCATAGGAAGCCATATGATGAGAACCAGGAGACCCAATTATTCCTGGGCTCACTGAATTGGTGTAGATGATCAGTGAAGAGCAAGCAATAGGCTGACCACATTCATTTCCCCCAACCTTGAGATAAACATCCAGAACTGGAAGAATGCCTTCAGAGTTTAAGGCCTATCACAAGTACAAGTTGATCGGCATCATCCAATCTCCTTAATCTCCATTGGCTCTACCAGCAGATGAGAAATAGAAAGGGTAACTTCACACAAAACCCCAACCCTGGTTTATAAAACAAAACACAGGCATTAATCAGATCAATCACTCTCAGTTAGTTCTGTCTTCAGAAGTTGAGGGTGCTAAGGTCAACACGGGTCAGGTACGTGGTGGCCTAATGGTTAAGACTCTGGACTTGTCCACCGGAAATTTGGCAGATCAGGACCCAAGCACCACATAACAGGGCGAGCTCCTGTTCTTGACCCTACTCTTGTCCACTTAGTTATTCAAATGCATGCAAATGCAAGTAAATAGATTCCATTGGTGGGAAGATTACAGTGTTCCGTGCACCTCGGTGTATAGTCATGCCAGCCACATGACCATGGAATTATCTTTGGAGAATGCTGGCTTCCTCGGCTAGGAAACAGAGGTGAGCACCACTCCCTAGAGTCAGTCACAACTGGAGGAGAAATCTTTACCTTAGCTTTGCTTAAGGTCAACACTGAGTTATGCCATTTGCATTTGGAGAAGGTGGGCAAGTGGGAGAGAAACGAAGGGGCCAGAGGGAGATCCTTAGCAGGGAGGGAACAAGGTAGAGGCCTAACCATGTTGCTGCCCAACAATTTATTACAGGAAGAGAAATTATCATGAAATGTTAAAAGTTTAAAACAGAACAAACCATGCAGCAGATTAATTGCCAGACCTAAACTTTTAGCATCCAGAGCTAATAGGCATCTGGATTTTTGTACCCTCCTCTTTTACTTCCAGATGGAAGATCCTTCCATCTCTTTCTTAATTTCTTTCCCGCCCACCTCACTTTCCTTCTTTAATTAGCTCTTTTGCAGGCACATGTTTATAGATCCCTGTTTCCACAGTGCCATCTAACCCACCCCCTTCCCAGAATCCCACATCTTTCTGCATTCAGGGAAAATAACAATAGAGTTGCCAAATTTTCACCAAGGCACTATTTCTGTGCCTTTAACCATAGTTGGATCCACAGACATTACTGCTATCCCTATTTTTATCTATTCAAGTTGATACGACACTTAACATGCTGAATCATTTTCGTAGCAAATCACAACTTTTCACTTGTGAAAATGTTCTCTTGCTGACACCAATCTCTTTTAAGAGAGTTGGAAGCTGGACTCACTGCTGGGGGGGAGGTCTATTTTTTTTTTAAGTTTGCTTTTACTTCTTTTTTTTTAATCGGTTGGCAAAGGCCTTAAAGCAGGGGTCTCCAACCTTGGCAACTTTAAGACTTGTGGACTTCAACTCCCAGAGTTCCTCAGCCAGCAAAGCTGGCTGAG